ATAGGTAGCCTTAGAAACTGAACGTACAGTGGGTATATGTTTCTTGGCTTTTAGACTATTTTAGCATTATTTGAATCAATGCTAAGAGGTGAAAAGCTCAATAACATCTGTGTTAAGTAAATATGTGGCCATTGTCAATGTATCACTAACAAGCTCTTCACTGTAATGCCTTCTTTCTGCACGTACAGATACAACAGACATGCAAGAGAATGGACTCAGAAATATGCAATGTAAACTTGTGAAGACTTTTTCATATACCACAGAGTACTGTAAATTCTAGGGTTTTTTTCAAAATTAGAAGGAAATGGAGCACAGTTTACTGCTTCCATGTATCATGATGCCCCTTGAATTTTTTTCACCCATGTAAGTGTGTTTCTGGAGCAAGGGAGAACAAACTTCCAAAAATAACCTTATGACTGTGATAAGAATATTTATCCTCTTTGTATGCTTTGCAGAAGACATTTATTATGGTTTTTAAGAGTTGGACGTCTGCATCTTCAGACTACAAGATCCATTATGCAGTTGTAAAGCAACCAAATTATTTTTGCTGGAAAAAGTAGCTGGTTTTGTGTGATGAATACTGTATGTGTGTCAAAGTATGTTGACCATTTCATAAGTGTGCTCAAATTTCATTTTGTTAGTTCACTTATATAATTTGTATTTTTTTACTATATAGACTAAATATTTTATTTACCATGTAAGTCATTTCATTTTAGACTTACTTGCTTGTGCACAGTATTGACAAGGCACAACTGCTAGTAATGAAAATAACTGGAGTATCCCACCCGTTAGGATATTCTAAAGACTGACTGCAGATTTCTTAAAACCTAAAATGATCTTTGCACTGTAATTCTTTGTATGCTGATTATGGAGAAACACTTGGTTTTGATTCTGTTGCATATACTTGACTTAATTTTATTGCAATGTGAACTAATTGCACTGCTATGTAGAAAGATGTGTAACCGTTTTGTTGCTATTCACAAATGATTTTTGACATGTGGGCAACATAACACTATCACAGACCTTTTACAAATCTAAATGTAGCCTTTTCCATATAAATAAAATGCATTTTCTACTACTTGTCTTGGCTTTTTTTTTAAATCATGCATATCCTTAAAGTGCTTGTTCTAACATTAGCGAATCAAAATATTAAGTGTGCATGTGTCTTGTAGACAAAAGGGAAAATAAAGCCATGCATCGTGTACTGCTTAGAACTGTTGCAATTTTTATGCTAGCTTTAGCCTAACTTATTTAGCATGCTATGCCCATTGTTTTATATAGGATTTCAACTAGTTTAATGACATGTTACATCTATATTCATTTATGGAGGAAATAACCACAAGTGTTTGAACATCAAACACTTCAGTTAAGGTGGTGTATTTGCAATATCGGAATGTTACAGTAAACTTCTCACGCTTGAAGATAACTTTTCCATTAACTGGCACTTCAGTTGCTTCAGACTATGCATGTGGAAAACCAGTAGTGCTGGAGAGGGGCAGTCTTTTCTTTTAAAGTAGATTAAAAGCAGAAGAATTTTTATTTCCTACCGTACATTCTTCTTGGGTATCTGAAAATAAAAATGCATGACTATTGTTTTTCTCTGTATCTTGCACAGGAAAGAAAAGTGACTTGCAGTTGGGAAATTTGTCATCATAAAATAAATTTTTAAGATGACAGATATTTGGGTTTTTTGCTGTAATGAATGCCAAACTGGAATTTGGGTTGTGGGCAAGAAGTGTGCACAGTAGGAGCTTTTATTCCTACCAGTGGAATACTCTTATCTTTATGCTTGCTGACTTACTGACCCAAATGGCATAAGTTGGCCACGTATAGGAAAAAGTCACTTCTGTGCTACAGTTTTATCTATGATGGTAGTGATGACTTTTTGAAACAAAAGCTTGATGGGAAGTGGCTCTATTGACCTTAAAAATATCCTTGTTCACTTCAGATTGTAAGGTGAATAAATGTGGGGGGTTTTGTTATTAAAATGAGTGCTTCGTTAGACTTGAACTAGGGCAATGTAGCTAGGAGGGCAAAGCTATTGTTTATACTTACTGCTAAAATGGTGGTAGAAAACTTTGACGGTCAGAATGTGTCCCCAGAGCTTTTATTTTTCCTAGATCGGTAGTAATACCTTTGTACTAGAAGTTACCTAAATGTTTTCAGTATCTGTATTGAACTGTGTGAGAGTGGAAGTTTGACTTGCCTCTCGGAATACTCACTTTCTTTTGGTTTACTGATTTGTATCGGGGATGGTTTGAAAACACTTGTACTTCAACTGGTAATTTTTCTGCTGTGTGCCATACATGCAAGAATGACTTTCCATCACAGCGCAAGACCAGCAGGATGATCGAAAAACCAAAGACCAACAAAACTGAGGAAGGCTTTGTGCTTACAGCACACTTACATACTAAAAAAAATAATCCTGTCTTATGCACATGCTGTTTTAGAGGCATGAAAGCAACTCTTTGATTCTCATGCTTCTCCTATGGGAAACAAAATACATTACTTAAACTTCATTCTTTCAAAAAGTTGGTCAGATTTCATCTGTGGAGATAAAACATCTCTGGTACTACTCAGCTAGAGTTCCTCTGTTACCACTTTTTAAAGTATGTGCTATTTTAAGGGGGAGGGGGGGGGGGGGCAGGGCAGGG